GCAACAAGACCATCCTCTTGGAAAAAAGTAAACAAACAAAAAAACTGTTTCCAACATATCAAAATAAGTAACATGTTGAAATTACAGCTCTTTAATAATCAAAAGATAAAATCTTTTGTGGCTATTACAACGATCAAACTCTTCTTGTAACTGCTGACGTGCTTTTTGATACTATGACCTTTGGAGATAAGCTCCATTTTTTGTTAGAAAGCCTCAAAGTCATTACCCTAATCTTAAGGTTCCTCCATGAATTCTCTGCAAGTTACAAATGAGGAACCTGATGAGGTGACTAAAAATAAAGGTAATATGTTGACTTAGATTCGGGAGTAAGGCTACATCTAAAAAGAAAAAAAAAAATTTCTTTATCCTTTAGCCAACCTTTACTGTCAGTCGTATTTCTTCAACCCTGTCCTCCTTTACCTTTAAACCTGTCTCACCTCATTCTTTTCTTCATGCCAAGACAAAATAGCATATAGTTTTAAAGTGAAAGGAAATTATGCATGGCTTTTTTTGGAGAAATTAAAGGTTGAGAATAAAGTAAAGGATCCCATAGCATGACGGTCCCTCTTCCTTGTCTCACCATAAGAATTATGTAGTTGGGGTGATGTGCAGTATTAGTTTTCTATCATACTTTAGGGATTATTATTATTTTCACTTATTCAAAAAAGCTGAAGTATAATTTATCTCCCTCCTCGTGTGTATGCACTTATTTGTGTTGCTCTGATACAACATCGCCGTACAATGAGATTTCTCACTTTAAATTTGAAAAATAAAAAAATCAAAAAAGTCAAAGGGGTGGGATTATCATTGAACACAACAAACTTTTAACAATGGCTTTTGACTGGAATTAAAAAGGTAACAAACAATGACGTGCAAAATATTAAGAGTCAGCATTAATTTTGGATTTGGAACATAGTACTATATACATATAACAATGTTGTAACACTTCATAGTTAAAAAGGAAAAGCTCCAAGTTCACTCCACACAGATAAACTAAGTTCTCAAATCTATAAATGAACTAGTTCCAGTTCTTCTTAATTAAGCCACAATGCTACACAGTAGAAACGCATATTTTACCCATTAGATGAGTGGTAGGTATACTGTATGTGCAGTGAAGCCTTTATTTAGCCAAATTACACAGAACTTCAGAAGCTTACAGTTAAATTTAGGATCTGCTAAAAAGACCTGTATCCAAAATAATTTCTTACATTCCTCACTCAGTAGCAGATATTTCCCAAGATAGCTCGGCTGCTTTAACTAGATGTGTCGCTTTAAATTTGAAGTGGAGGCACCGTTTGCACACAAACATTTATTTTTTCAGTCAGGGTCTTCTTTTGTTAGTTCATAAAACTCTTACAAGCGCTCTGCAAAATTAGGCATAAGAAATACCAGTAGATGAATCTGAATTGCGCAGACTAATATTAGCATTAAGCAAGCTGGTCTGTCATGCTGTTTGCCATAATAAGTGCTGTAAAACCTGACATCATCCAATGAAAACTGTCGATATCAATTGAATGTGAAGGTGAGATCTGAGTTGAATGCGAACTGTGAGTCGCTCATTATTCTGAGAGTGAACGCCACTCTCTTTTATGTTCATTACTTCAAAACTGATCCGTTCAGTCTACCATTCACTAAAAACATTAAAGGAATAGTACACCCAAAACATGATTAGCCTTCATTTTCTACTCACCTCCATGCTGAACAACACTCTGGAGTACTTTTTTGATATCTCAAATGCATCTGGAGATCTGGGAGGCTTCTTGCTGTCTGCTGACATTCAAATAATGGAGGTCCATGGCGCCCGAGACAGAAAGGTCCATAAAAGTCCACAAAAACGTGTCAATATTCCTCCATACTGCTCGTCCAATGTAATCCAAGTGTCCTGAGTGGGTAGCATCCAGAATTTACTCGAAACGAAGTCATTTAGAATGTTTTTAGAGCATAAACAGTAGTGTATAGGATTTCCTAATAGCGCCCCCATGCGCGCTCACGATTCTACGGAAGCCGGCAGACCAAACCAGCGCATTCAGCTCGGCAAAGAACTCATGCTCTTCCTCAACACTGAAGTCCTCAGACATTTTTCTTTCGTTGTTTCTTTCTTTGCACAGGTAAACAGCACATTTCTTCTTCTACGCTTGCATTATCGGCAGACCAGACGCTGAATGCGCACTTTCTTCCGGTTTGGTCTGCCGGCTTCCGTAGAATCGTGAGCGCGCATGGGGGCGCTATTAGGAAATCCTATACACTACTGTTTATGCTCTAAAAACATTCTAAATGACTTCGTTTCGAGTAAATTCTGGATGCTACCCACTCAGGACACTTGGAATACATTGGACGAGCAGTATGGAGGAATATTGACACGTTTTTGTGGACTTTTATGGACCTTTCTGTCTCGGGCGCCATGGACCTCCATTATTTGAATGTCAGCAGACAGCAAGAAGCCTCCCAGATCTCCAGATGCATTTGAGATATCAAAAAAGTACTCCAGAGTGTTGTTCAGCATGGAGGTGAGTAGAAAATGAAGGCTAATCATGTTTTGGGTGTACTATTCCTTTAATGTATTCAGTGAATGCAGTTCCTTGAAAGGGTACATGCACAACACTGCCTATAACTGGGAACTTATGTACATTAAAGCTACAATAGCAAAGCTCCTAAAGCATCATGGACCCAATTTTCTGCACATGCAGAGAAATAAAAAAAAAAAGAAGAAAGGTTTCCAGAAGGTTCCTCCTCTGTACATCAGTTAGAGAAATAGTGTGTGTAACAGAACCCACTAAGAACTGCTTGAGGCTCTTTATTATGCCAACCACAAAAGAAAGTTTACTCCAAATAGGGATGAAGGCACAGCCAATTTGGCCCCCACACAAACAATTTAGACAGACATCATTTTCAGGAGCCACACTAGGATACAGTCTCATTCTTTAGCTAGTCTGTAATGCTCCGTCTTTAAACGGATAAAAGGAGAGGGCTACTGATGAGCAGAGATGTTCAGAGGCAGCGCTTGTTGACCCCTTCACCCCCATATCTCGCCCCCACCCCCAGGCAGCGCACCGATGCGTGTTGACTCATGCTGCATGCTCACACCTTGCACACATGGGAATGACAGTCATCTGTTGACCACTTGAGGATAAAAGCTACTGAGTCATTTTCAAGTTCAGCTGTGAGACAAGAACTAATCAGTGAGGAGAACTAGTGGTTGAGTAGAAGTCGATCTCAGGGCAGCATTACCTCAGACTTGGTGAGTTCTGGAATGAGTGGCAGATTAAGCACAAAATATTCAATTAGAAGGCATATCCTTCAGTGTTGGAATGGAATAATAAATCACCCACTGTCTTTATGCAAAAGCTGCTGTATCAGTTAGGAAAGTGGCCCAAAAATGCTTGAAATCTTCAGTTAACCTCCTGTGTGCAACTGGACCACAGCAGTTAGGGTCTCCACTTCACCTTGAGGTGCTGTTAGCAGCTGTCATGGCCATTTACAAAGGTCAACAGAGCCCCCCCAGTCAAACCCCTCAGTTTGAGACCTTTGCAGCTTATAAACTGTTGTGTGTCTCACTTCAAACACCATAGCTCTAGATGGAAACTGTAAAGCATACCGAGAGTAGGCTACGTGACAATCAGTCAGTAAATTAGACCCATTTTTGCCATTTACTCAATAATCACAGTGGCAACAGCTCTGAGCACTAGGCCAGTTAAACAGGAGGTCAATAAGAGAGCAACAATGTGCTTTTACACCTGATGTGTTCCATATTCATAGATCAATGTAGCTTTGAACTATTTCTAGCTAGGACCAAGCTGAAGACTGATTAGTCTTTAACAGGATGAAGCACAGGTGAGAGGTGTACTTACCTGAATGAGGTCACAAGACGGTGGTAAAAATCATTTTGTGATACTTCTTTATTTTTTTATTTTTCAAAGTTGGAATAAATTAAAATAAGTATGAAAATTAGGTTTCCATACTGTCATTGACACCTCTGGGATTCACAGTTAATGCTTATTTAGTAAATTAAGCTTTTCTCCAAGCTAATCTTTAAAAAAGGAAGGATTACACAACTTCATTCAAGAAGAGCGTAATAATGAGTCTTTTTTTTTTGTCCTACCAACTCAAATGTAAATATGTAGTTTGCTAAATTCTACAGAGAATTGAAATTGAAGCATGGAGTGATTTGGTCAAATAAGATAAGGATTAAGAATGAGAAAAGCGAAAATACCCAGAGCTAGAGAGATTTTTAAAAGAGTTTAAAGGCAATTGTCAAAGAATCCTTATGAAATGTTGCAGAAGTTTATCCAAATGTTCAAAAGAGGATAGTATAAATCATTAGGCAAACAGAAAACCACTGTATTTATGAAACAGGCAAATACATTATTTACATGTCTGTCAACTATGTTAATTTCAAAATATCAGATTCAACATTCTTCTAATTACTCAACTACAGCATTGACATTGAAAAATCGTCATGTAAAAACTGGTACAAGAGGCTTTAATCTTAGCCATTGAATTAAAAACTTTACATGTTTGCTTCTGAATATTTTTCCCAGCATACCTTATATTCCTTATAACATATTCTGGAAATATACTGTAGGTTGTGTGTGTGTGTATATATATATATATATATATATATATATATATATATATATATATATATATAACCCTTCTTCTTTCACAGCAGCCACATCAGCTTAATTTAAAAAAAGTATAATATGTATATCTTATTTACTTATATGTTAGTATGAAATGAAAAATGCCAATATTGACTTTAAAAGTCTAATTTCTTGTCTTCATTGATTAATTTTTAGGGACAAAACAGTAGTAGAGATGTATTATTTTAAAACTATGTTATAAAAAAGTTATATTACGCGACTTTTTCTTTTAAATAGATCAACTAAAGCAACAGGTGGAGCTTTCTTTAGTCTTTAGTTGATGTCAATAAATCCAATCCAACTGTAGTGACGCACATCCTTCTGGATCAGCCTGAGCAGAGGAAAGCGCTGCAGGTTTACCTTTACGCACACAGCGAGGAGAAGCAGTCCAGCCGTCCACAAACTGCTCCAAGTCATCATCTTGGACGCAAACAGCCTTGGAGTAATTTCAAACTGCTGATAGACGCCTCTGAATGTACCCGCTCTGTGTTCAGAAGCAGAAAGAGACGCGCTCTCCTATCCTCTCCTCTCCTCTCCTCTCCTCTCTGCTCCCTTCTGCTTTGCTCCGCTTCCCAAGCGGAGGAGGAAAGAGGTGAAAGTCAGCCAAGACAGGACGGAGACGACATGACACTCCACGGACGCTTCCAGATATTTGGTTACCCTCAACAGCAAACACGTTGCTGCTAAATTTATGTTTGCATGCCAGGCGTGCGTCAGGGAGAGGGGCTCACCCACCTTACATTCTTAAAGAAACACGCTCCGTTACGCGCCTGACGCGCTGCCCAAACTTGAAGGGATGCTTTTCTTTTTCACTAATGTGTTTAAGCTGCCAGGCATCTTAATGGATGGATGATATAACAAAATAACTTTTTTTTGCCACTTGTCTGTGCTCATAACTGTTTGCTTTAATTTGAGCTTTTAAAAAGGCCAGACCAGTCACAACAGCTCAAAGCAGGCATTCTGGGGAGGCCCAAACCCACAAGGAGGGAAAGACATACTGTACTGAAAGCCCTTGAGCTTTCTCATTATTTGTCACATTTCATCCCTGAATGTCAGTGGATTTTACTTGGGATTTTGTGTGATATACAAACACAAAGTAGTACATTGGTTATGAAAAGATTGGATTATGGTGATTTTTTTTTCTTCTCACAACTACAAATCCCAAAAGAGTGGATGGCAGTAGGTCCTAATTATAGACAATATTATTGTGAGACTGAAGCAGCAGATCTGTTGGCTACATCTTTACCAGGTTAGCACATGTAAATACTGAAAATCCTTTACAAGTCTTGTCACCAAGTCTTTGAAAAAGTTTGGGTGTTCTGTTTTTATCCAAACGATTTCTTGATAGCTCTTTAGATTACTGAAAGGTCTGGGTTGTTGAAAATTGGTGGCAAGATTCAAAACTTTTTCCCAATCATTTATCTTTCTAAACATAATAGGAAAATATGAGGCAATGTCTGGTACTCTTTAGAACCAATAGTGAGCTTTATACTAATAATAGTCATAATTATTTTCTTCTAGTGAGTTTTTTTTTTATCTCTCATTACAGAATTAGTTCTTGACCTTTCAAATATTTAATAAAGTTTTCTCCCTTCTCCTAAAAGACAAATTATAAATATACTCCCTGTTTCTACACAATAAAAAGATATTTGTGTTATTTCGATAAACTTGAAATAAAAAAAAAAAATAGCTGATGGGTTGTGCTTATTTTTCAGAGCTTTGGATTTGTTGCAAATCAGAATTTGCTTTAGACTTGTAGTTTGGCTTATTGCCCTGCCAGACACGCACAATTTAAATTTAGGAAGAGTATTATCTGAATCAAGCTGCATGTCAACTGAGATCAACTAAAAGGAATCCTGCATTCCAACTATCTGTCTTTGCCAGACTTTGAAGTAAAAGTTTTAATTTCCCTACCCACGGCCAGAAATTAGGTCTGAATAGAGGCCCAAATAGATTTTAATGAGGTGAATGATCTTACTTTACCCCGTGCATTTTCATGTATTTTACTTTTTACTTTTAGGAGAGTTTGTGCATTTTTCTGTCTGCCTGACTGTGTACAGAATAAGTTAAAAAGTTATGAGCGGATTTTGATGAAATTTTAACCAAAGGTACACCTCAGTCCAAGGAAAAATCCATTCAATGTTGGTGATGATCAGGATGCTGATCTGGATGCAAGCAGTTCCCCCCTAAACCAAAGGGTGGCAGCAGTGGCTTTTGATCACATCACACTCAAAAAGTCTAGAGGTATTATAATGAAGACAAAGAATACAAAAACAGGAAAAGGGAGCCATGTGCCACTTGAAGTCCGATTTGCTAATCAATGAAGAAAGTTACGTAAATGAAGAAGGTGAGAGCAGAACAGACACCAAAGGCTGCAGGTACACACTGTGCCTTATTTATGAACTTATTAAAGGACTTAAAAGACATTTTTACCATTGTGTGCCTCATGCCAAGGAAAAATTCAAATAGAATTTGGTAATGATCCAGATCCTGTGCGTATTTTAGTTATACGTGCGACTCACAATATGGGGCAAGATTTACAGCTTGGTGGAGGTCTGCGCTCTCCGAGTGCTTTTTTATTTATTTTTTTAATTATTTTACAATGGCTGAAACCAGCATATCAATGTTCTTTTGATCCTCTGTTATACTGTATGACTTCATGTTCTTTGAAGCTTTGCCCACAGTGGTAATGCATCAAGACTGGCCTGTCAGCACTGAAGTAATCCCGGCCCACTGTAATAACAATGTATCCAAAAAAAAAAATCCTCTTTGCATTACTACCCACTTAGAGCCCAAAGAAACGGTATGTATGGAATGCATGCTACCTGAACTACTGCTGACATGGGGCTTCAATTCAGCTCCGTTTATAGGAAAACTAAAGAATCTAACATCCCATTAAGAAGTTCATAGACACTCATTTGGAGGAAGGTGATACATTTCAGTGCTTCAGTGATTTGTGTGTATATACACACATATATATATATATATATATGTATATATATATATATATATATATATATATATATATATATATATATATATATATATATATATATATATATATACACATACATATAATTTGAGAAGAACAGAAGGATCCAGTTATCAAAGCATGCAAACAGTTAAATTTCACAAAATGCGTCCTGAAAACCGAATCGGAGTGAGCGGCATTGACGTCTAATGCGGGAACCTCTGCGGGTGGAGACAGCAGGTTAATGACCAAGTCTTTCTGGAAGTGAATGATAATGAACGTGTGAGTCACCAACCTGTTTTATAGTTTGGTTTGAATCAAGACGGCATGGATGGTCCCAGCCGTCTGGCTGCCAACACGGCACAGCAGTTGCCGCACAGAGAGTCCTAGATGCTGATGTATCTCTGCTTCTGTCTCCTTGAACCCTAGTTGGCCTCAGCAGATGGCCGCTCACACTGAGCCTGGTCCTGCTGGAGCTTTCTTCCTGTTAAAAGGGAGTTTTTCCTCTCCACTGTCACTACAAGCATGCTTAGTGTGAGGGATTGTATTTGAGTCAATGAGTCGATGCAATCAACTGGTTTTCCTTACATAGAAAACTTTGAATTAATTTGACTCTATGATCTGGTTGAACTGCAAAGTGCCTTGAGATGACTTGTGTTGTGAATTGGCGCTATATAAATAGACTGAATTGAATTGAATTGATGTATTGGTGGTCAGGACTGGCAGGCGATTAGAAACAGGCAGACAATCTAGAGGCAGGATAATCCAGAGGGCGAAGCCAAAGCCTGTGTTGGTGATGTGCTCAGTTGTCAGGGGGGTCAAAGATCCAGTGAGGTAATGCAGGAGAATCCAGGACGGAGTCGGGTCACAGATCCAGGAACAGTACAGAACCAGACAGAGATCCAGCAGGAGTTAGAAGACAGGTCAGGCAAACAGTTCAGGATGGGGATAGGTATGCTAAAAGTTCCAGAGGCAGAACGAGTCAGAGTGAGGCAATCAAAAATACAGTAATGCAATACAACTTCTCAATACCGGCTCGGAATATTCTGTCACTGATGACTGATCTGAAGGCTGATTAATTAGAGACTAATGCAGGTGGATCAGATAAGCAGGTAAAAAAATAAATAAATAAAACTGCTGTTCATAGCAATTACATCCGGACTGATATTTGAGAGTCAAGTTAGAAAAGGACTGGGCTATTTAATTACAATGTAGAGATTTATTTTTGAAGAATTCAAGGTGAGGCTTTTAAACATGAAACGTTAAACAGAGTACCAGGTACTCAGGTAAGGGGATAGCAGCACCATGCTGTGGGATGTTTAACTCTGAAACTGCATAAAGTTCATAGAACAACAGTGAAATATGAATTAATCCAACTTATGTAGTAGTTGAATGGACATGACCTGGACACAGTTTGTTGCTACAATTGGATAATGATCCCAAAAACACATAAAAAATATTTGGAAATGAACAAAGAATTTGATGATCACTTTTGAAATGACTCTAAAAACATGAATGTATCGACTCAACCAATTCAAATTAGATCTACCATATTATTACCATATACAGAGAGTTGGTACATATCGATACACCTCTGTGTTAAAGTATCATCCTCACATCTGTCATCAAGTATGGTAATGCGAGAAAGAAGACCCTGGAAGTCCCCTTCTGAACTTTGACCACCCAGCAGTGCCCTGTGATCAGTAGCAACACCCCTCAAAGTCAGAGCCTGCAGCATGTAATCCCTGAAGACATGAATAATTTACATTCAGTGCGGTTAGCAGTGCATTGCTAAGCTACGTCCTCATGTTACCAATGTTACTCTTACTGATGGATCTACTCTGTGGGATCATTTGTTCCAAGGTTCCACCTGCAGGCTTGCAAAGTCAACCCACCCCTAAAATGTATTTTTAGACCTGAAAAGACTAAGTAGCATCTTTACTCAAGCCATCTTAAAGGATTTTTGTGTTCCGGGGAGACAAATAAGAGGCTGAGCCATTGGGTAAATAACAGTGTTTAAGCAGAGATCTTTTGTTTGACTGCTTTGATGCGATGGTGGGTCTTTAGCTCTCTTTTCTTTAGTCATTTAACTGCTTCTTTGGAAATAGGATTCTTCAGGAACATAAAATAAATGGGTTGAAATTTCTGATTTCTTTCAAACAAAATCTTGGCTCCCTGGATTAATTACATTTTCTTTGGAATAGCCTGTACTAGATGTCTTATTCTTGCTGTTATTTTTATATTTAATGCTAAAAGATATTGTAATCAGTGGTTCCTTTTTTTACATTTGGAAGCATGATTTGTTATACAGACATATCTTTTCAAATCCCGAAACAAAACAAAGTGCTATTCTGTCTGTATGATGATTCAAGCAAGTCTTTAACAGACTTTTATGTTTTACTTGATCAAATTTCAAATGTATATAAAGGAAAATTCTAATATTTATTTTAGCCTTTTTTAACATGCTGGATGTGATGTTTTGACCCTGTGCTCACCCTGAGCTTTGTAAAGAATCCAAAAATTGAACTAAACAAAGCATAGCACTACTTCTATATTATTACTCTAGTGAAGTTTTTGGTAAAAAAATTCAACTCAAGTTCTTGAGGAGTAGCCTACTACAGCAATACCCTCTAATGCAATGGTGTAATCCTAACAGACAGATTTCTCAAAAGTTTATTAGAAACAACTGCAGTGATCAGTGTCGCGTCTAAGGTAGGAA